TTATATTATATAACAAAGGGCAAGGTCACCAGAGTTCAACTATGTTTTAATTCAAATACAAACAAAAACATTATGACTCCATTCCTATTCAATTGACAATTATTTAATTTAATTTGTGTTACTTCATCGCAGCTTTTTAGTTTGTTTTCTCAGCTTGCATGCAGAAATAAATTATGGTTCAACATTTGTCTTCCAATAATTACAATACAAAGTATCAGTAACAATTTCACTAGAGCATGAGTTTAAATAGTTTATTCACTACATAAACTGTTCTCTGTACGTGAAGTCCTCTTTCACTTAGAGTTATATTCAATGTCGCTGGTCAGGTTTTTGTAATCTCATGTGCAAATACTGTTATCAATAAATATTTAAAATTAACATTTTTCAAAAAATTAAGATCTATAGCACTGAAACTTTTAGGAATACTATGACCGATGTATAGTAAATTATAATATATTTCTAAGTGTATATTTAATTTTTCTCCATTTTTTTATTACAGAGATTATTAACCGCTGTACAAGTTCTTGACTTAAGCCATAACACAATCAGTGACGTAGAATGCAATCTAGAGGTACGTCATAATACAGAATATCATCAAGTATGGTTACAAGCTGTAAACTCAATAAATGTTTTAGACTGAGGTCAGATGATAAAAAAAAACACACAGAGAAAATTCAGTCATGGCAGAAAATGCATGAACTGGGAAAGTAATCAAGTGACAGCAATATCTAGGAGGTGTTGCTATCTAGATTCAAAACATATTCTCTAATATTGTCGTTAACAGATTGACAGGGATAAATCTGATTTAATCATCATGGTTTATTTCCCTTGCCTTCATAAATAGTATATTTCTATGCTGAGCATATACATCACAAAATGTTGTTCATCTGTTATCTGATTTGTGCTACAAAAAAACAGTCTTTCATTTATAAGTGAGAAGCGCTGCTGCTGGGAAGTTGTGATCTAGTGCTGATGTTATGTAGTTTGTGAACAGTGTTCAAAAACTACATGAAAAAATGTGATGAAAAAATGTACATTAGGCGTAGCATGCACCCAGATACTTATGTATAGAACAAGATGCCACTCCAAGAAATGTCAAACAGGACATTTATTTGATCTCGTAGTTGCACAGATTATCATTAATTCATGAAATTGATGTCACCATAACTTCCCTAATTTTCATTACAGTACCTAACAGAGCTGACCCATCTTAATCTTGGATACAACCATCTCCAGAAGATCCCTTCTTTGTCAGTCAGTGCTAGAAATAAACTGCAATTGCTCGTTTTGAGAAATAACAAATTGGAGAACTTGCAAGGATTAGAAATGTTTAGGAATCTACAGGAGTTGGATATCGCTAATAATTGCATCATTGACATCTCTCAGTTTATGTACTTGACTTCATTAAATAACATTACAAGGGTAAGCACCAATGCAATGACAATTATGGAAATAAATTCACTGTTCTTAATAAATCATCACAGTCTTTGTTTATGCCTTCCAGTATTTTTCTGATGTAAAAATAAACATACTGTAATTGTTCTATTAGCAGCACATGTGCATAAATGTGTGTCTATGGTCAAATTAAGCCATATTTTTATGATTTAATCAAAGACACTAGAGAATACAGAGACATGCAACTGTGGTCTATTTTTTATGTAATGACATTTTAATGTAATTTTGACGATTCAACGTGCACCATACTATAATCTCTAGTGATTTAATTCGTTTCAATTTGCAAATTAATCAAAATATAGATATATGTAGTAAAATTTCAAAAAATTTGTTTTCCCCAGACTTTCAAAGCACCATGCTCATATATAGAATTATTTGAAATCAGAAATAGCACTGACTGAAATTTACATTGTATTGTATTTTATTAGTAAGTTTTTATTGCAGTAAACCAATGCAAACTGTTTTTATGTGTACTTTAATGATGTCATGTGATTCTAGTGATATATTCCACTGACTGACCATATTTTGTTATTTTTTATGTAGTTGGCCCTACAAGGAAATCCTGTGTGTTTTCATCCCAATTATCGCATTAATGTTGTGAAATATCTCTCACCCGGTGTCACTACACAGAAGGTAAGCATCAACCAACACTCTCATCTCTAGGCTGACGACTTCTCTTCTCATTCTTCTCTTCTCTCCTTACTCTCATTCCATCTTCCATCCATCATGCATCATTTTTTTTGAAAACATAGGCGTACAAATATATCCACCTTTCTGTGTTCTCAACCTTTTTACTCACTTCTACCTTTCCAAATACTGATCCAATTACAGTAGAAATGATATATATATATTTAACAGTGTATTTTAAAATTTCTTTCCCCTTCTGTTGGTCAGCATGTCTTGCATTTTCTTATAGACTGATGTTTTGATACATTGAATTCACCCAAACCTTGATTTCTAGGCTATGGCAGCTTAGTCTTAGTTCTGTTGATAATTTATATGGTTTTACAGAATGTTTATTGGATGCACATTTAATTGTATTATTTAAAGTAAGATATTTATTGTATATTGTTCTCTTGTCAATCTCTTGGCAGTGACTGATGTAATACTATAATTCTATTTTGTGTAGGTGTATTTAGATGGTAAAATACTGACAAAAACTGAACTTAAGGTAAGTGCGGGGGGATTACTAGTAATCTAGAAAAGAATCTGTATTGCTAACGTACCCCATATTCAAGGTTTTTGATGAAATGAAGCAATAAGTTCTGAAGACATAACCAACACTAACAATACAAGAAAAAAATCAAAGAAACCAAAGATGCTCATATATGGATATCTCCAGAGGAAAGAAAGTGCCAACTTTGTAAATAATGGGGCTATTGGCAATGAAATCCATGCATTTTTTTTAGACTGTAATCATACTGGAATAACAAATGCTCGTACTGAATTTCTGAATGTAGTTAGCATTTATAATGAAAGTATCGTTAAATTATCAAAATAAAAAATGTTTGCAGAAATTTTAAGTTCAAGAGTGGGTTCATTGCCAATAGTGCTAGTAAATTTATTTACTTAGACTTTAGTCTTTTATGTATTTTCTTTTGTTTCGTTTGTGTACTTGTGTTTTATTACCTTGCCCGTACCATCAAAGATGGAAGGGAAAGGTATATTAAGGGGAAAAATGTGTGCGGCGTTGTCGTTGTTGTCGTCATTCTTGTCGTTAATAATTGTTATTGTGTGCATAATAACTTTACTTATTCTATTCCAAACTTCATCAAACTTGGTCACCTTATTCATCAGTATAAAGTCTTCCCTGAGTTTGAACAACAGATCTCTTGTATGAAAATATCATGCAAAAATTGAGAAAATCTGATAAAATATTTTGACTGTTTCTACCTGACTGATCACTGGTGATACGCATCAAAGGTCACTGATCTTAGTGGAAATATGCATTGTTGTATTGTTCAATTAAGCAAATTATTTATCTTGTAATAATATCGTTGGTAATGTATCTCCCAAATCCCATACTGGGTTTCAAAACCAACTCATGGAGAGATTTTTTGCACAGTCTGATACACATTTGCAAACCTACCAATAAAATCTTTACAGAAAACAAGATGTCAGAAAATTAATATAAGCACTCCTATGAACTGGGTGCCAAACTTTGATCGAGATCTGAAGCTAATAGAAAATCTGTTAAAAAGTTCAAAGTTATCAAATCAAAAACAATACATAAAAAATACATAAAAAGCAAATTGTGAACAGAATGATAGGGTTTTTATAATACTAATTTAAAAACTCACTTCAAAAACAAAGATTGCAGTGTTTGAAGATGTGAATTCTCAGGAGGCAACAGTACTGTTGACTTCTCCCTCCACTGGACACCAACTAACTATTTAAGTTGATTTGCATTACAAAGCAGAGCTTGCAACATGATAGCTATTCATAGAGGATGTTTTTTTTACTCTTCATATAATGAATATAATAAGGCAGTTCATATTTGTTTCAGTGAATCATTAATTTTTGACATACACCTGTACAAAATACTTGGACAAAAGCCAGCTAAGACTTTCTGTTATCTTGCATCTATTCACATCTAAATGCAGCACTTTTTTTCTGCAGCACTTTGAATAAAGCTCGAAATTATGTCCCTTAAAACAATTAAACAAATTAGGCACCAATGTTTTTGTAAGATATTTACATCTATCAAGGATATTCGGTAGACTGATTCCCCACTGTTGGTATAACCCCAAAACTTGTTTGTATTCAAAATTAATTATAACAATGCATATTTATATTGAAACAAACTATGATAAAGGGAATAATATTAAATAATATTATATAACAAAGGACAAGGCCACCAGAGTTCAACTATGTTTATATTTAATGTTTTTTGACCACAGATAATGTACCTAAATATATTATTTAGTGTCAAATAAAATATACTATACTATACTATACTATGTGAAGTAATTGTGGAAACATTGAATCAAGAATGATGAAGCATGTTCACACCAGGCTAAGCTTCTAATGTGCTGTACTCAGATCAAAACTCATCATGGCACTCAACTCTTTCCCAAATTTCACTCAGTTTGACGTTGTGAGGTGACTCAAAACAACAAATGCAACAAACACAAATATTTCTCTACTTAGACCAAATTTTAAAA